CTGAAGGCTAGAAGTCCAAGATCAAGTCACTATTCAGGTTGGTTTCTGGTGAGACCACTCTTCCTGGCTTAGATGGCATCTCTTCCCTGTGCCCTTACATGTGCACATGAATAAAGAGAGAGATCTCTATTACATCTCCCTCTTTTTTTATTAAAGTATAGTTGGTGTTAGGGTCTGCCCATTGATTTAGTCTTGTGAAAGAATTCACAATTAAGAGAAGAGAGAAAGAGAGGAAAATATATTTTACTTCCCTAAAGAAGGAAAGGACCCATGCCTTGATTGGCAAACAAGGGCAGAGAAGATAGAGTGCTGGTACTTTTAAAGAGTAAGCAGTTGCTGTTGCTAAGCAACAAGAAAGGGAGGGGTTAGAGGTAGCCAGATGTTGGTAGTTTGTCTTGAAAAGTTTGTTTGCTTTCCAGGAGACAGTCTGGCAGATGCACTAAGGATGCCTATTATCAGCATTTTCCCCATGTCTGTAGAACAAGCTTATAACAAAAGTTATAAAGAGTTCAAAAGGGAGAGGCCTGTCTGAAGGGCAGGGCAGACAAGGAGAAGGAATTCTTGCTAATCAGCCTGAAGCTGTTAAACAGTAGGGAGGAAAGGTTGGGAAGTGTGGCCTTGAGTATCTTATCTGGTTCTGCTGTTCTGTTTGAACAGAGGAGCTGTTTGAGTCACAGGACTCAACCATCTCAGAATTTAATTACCAGGTGCTTCTCATAAATTGTGGAAAAACTACATCAAAGAAAAGGAAAGGTTGGTTTTCTGTCCTTACAGTTGGCATGCAACATTATATTAGTTTCAGTTGTATAACATAGTGATTTGATATCTTATGCTGTGATCATCACACTAAGTCTAGTAACCATCTGTAACAATGCTATTACACTCTTATTTACTATATTCACCTTTCTTATCCATCCCTCTATCTACTTCCCTCTGGTAACCATAGGTTTGCTTCTTGTTTCTGTGAGTCTGTTTTGGTTTTGTTTGTTCATTTTTTCGAATTTTTAAAAAATTTTGCATATAAGTGAAAACATGTGGTAATTGTCTTTCTTTGTCTAATTTATTTCCATTAACATAATTCTCTCTCTCTCTCTCTCTCTCTCTCTCTCTCTCTCTCTCACAAACACACACACACATCTTCTTTATCCATTCAATGAACACTTAAATTGCTTCCATAGCTTGGTTATTGTAAATAATGCTGCTTAGATGTACATGTGGGTGCACATATCTTTTCAAATAAGTGTTACCATTTTCTTTAGATAAGTACCCAGAAATTGAATTGCTAGGTCATATGGTAGATCTGTTTGTAGGTTTTTGAGACATCTCCAAACTTATTTCCATAGTGAATGAACCATTTTGCAGTCCACCAATAGTGCACAAGGGTTCCCTTTTCCCCACATCCTCATCAACAGTTGTTATTTGTTGACTTTTTGGTAACAGCAATTCTGACAGGTATGAGGTGGTATCTCATCGTGGTTTTGATCTACATTGTCCCAATGATTAATGATGCTGAGCATCTTTTTACATGTCTGTTGACCATCTGTATGTAGCCCTGGTGCTTTAATTGTCTGTTGATTAAGCTGGACCTGGGTGATGCTGCTTTGTGTGTGCAGGGCATGTTGCTCTACTACTTCTGTACTTTCTCTTGGTGGAACAGCCAAATGTGCACACGCAGCAGCACCCAGCTAGTTCTGCTCTTTCTCCGAATGAGGCAGACCTGTGTGTGGGTATCCCAAACAACTCCCTACTAGTTCCACATTTTCTCTGGGCAGGATAGCCTGTGTGTCTATGCAGCCCAATAGGTGTGTACAGCAGTGCTTTGTTGTACCTGCTGTAACAATTTCTGGGTGGAGGGGCCCTATGTGTGTGTCCTATGTACCCTCCTATTTGTGCTGGAGTTAGCTGTGGAAGGATTGGTTGGAGACACATTACAGTGGCCCTGTAGGTCATCCACAGCCCCTGGATAGAACTCCTGACTTCTATCCAAGTACAGAGAAAATCTACACAATGGTGTTTGCCAGTTTCTCAGGTCCTAGAGAGTTTTAGTGATACCCCAAGTTTCTCTATGTAGTCTTTCTTTTGCTTGTTGTGTAGAAGCTGTTCAATTGGCCCTCAGTTTTCTCTCAGGAGGAGTTGTTCTAAATAGAGGAATACAATGAACATGTTCTTGGTAGGGGGTAATCTCAGTGTCCTTCTACACAATCACCTTGGAACTGCCTCCTCAAACTCTCTTTCTAAATGTGTATTTTAAGGCAAAGTGCAGGAGCAATAGAAAGAGAACTTCTCAATGTTTCAGCAGAGACACTCTAGCAACTGAAAGACAATTTATCTAGCATTAAACCTTAATTTGGCAATTGAAAATTCTCTATCACATGCTTTTTGCCTCTGTCTTACTTGTAATCCCATAAGAGCTTTTGATTATGCTCTTGTTTTTACTACAATTGCATATAGCAAATGAATGTTTAATTATTAGTTGACACAGAAGAAAATTTACAATAAATCACTTTAAAAAATTATTTTCTGAGTGCAATGCCTATGAGCAATCTGGCAGAGGGGTGAGAGGTGGAACAGGGAGTGGAATTCTTGCTTTTGTGTTATAATGCCACTTACCTTCCAGTTTTTCTTTAACTTCAGTAGGAAACACTTCAGTCTCTCTCCCTATTCTCCTGTAATAATACCTGAGATAAACAGAAAAGAAGGAAGCACAGCTGTAAATGTTCAGCAAGGTTACATTTTTCAAATTGAATAGCATTAGAAAGAAAGCAAATATAAGTGGAATCAGTGTGTATAAGAAGAATGCAAATGAGATGCTAAGTACTTTTCTGTTGTATTGCCACTGTTTCTTTCTAATAGCAGCATGGTAAATTAATTAGGTGTTCAGTATTTATTTGTTTGAACTCAATGCCACCATATAAACAAAAGTCCTAAGGAATGAGGGCAAATAAAAATCTAGGCCAGATGAACTTGTGAATGATTTTAAATTCAAAAAGAGAGGTTGATTCAATACCATAGTGATCTGAACATACTTCCTTTATTCTAAAAGCCTTGGAAACCATGAATATGTAGTTTTCCAACAGAGACCCATTTTAAGAACTGTGGGTGAATCTAAGAGACAACACTTATTATTGGAGGCCAACTCTCAATTTCATCAAATAGTTATTAAGAAACTATTTTTTAAATATGTTTTTATTGATTTTAAAGAAAGAGGAAGGGAGAGGGAGAGAGAGATAAAAACAACAACAAGAGAGAGGCACCAGCATCTATCAGTTGCCTCCTACACGTCCCCACCGGTGTTGAAGCCCACAACCCAGGCATGTGCCCTGACCAGGAATCAAACCCACAACCTCTTGGTGCATGGGTTGATGCTCAACCACTGAGCCATACTAGCCAAGTAAGAAACTATTTTTTCTAATATAAAATGTAGAGCCCAGCTGGTGTGGCTCAGTGGTTGAGCATCAACCCACGCACCAAGAGGTCATCAGTTCAATTCCCAGTCAAGGCACATGCCCAGGTTGTGGGCCAAATCCCCAGTGAGGGGCATGCAGGAAGCAGTCAATTGATGTTTTCTCTCATCCACATTTCTATCTCTCTCTCCCTCTCTCTTCCTCTCACTCTAAAATCAATAAAGAAAATAAAATAATAAATAAATAAATATTTATGCCCAGCCTGTGTGACTCAGTGGGTGAGCGTCCTCCCATTCATCAAAACATTGCCAATTTGATTCCCGGTTTGATTCCTGGCCAGGGCACATACCTGAGTTTCGGGTTTGATCCCTAGTTGGGGAGTGTACAGAAGGTGAACAACCAATGTTTGTCTCCCACACTCATGTTTCTCTCTCTCTCTCTCTCTCTCTCTCTCTCTCTCTCTCTCTCTCTCTCTCTCTCCCCCCTCTCCCTCTCTCCCTCTCACTTAGCATGTCCTTGGGTGAGGATTAAAAAAAAAGTGGCCAGAACTTGGGGTCAAGCTCTACAGTTTATTGATTCTGAGTCATTAGTCAAATTTTTTATCTACTCTGAAATTCTACTACCTCATCTACAAAATGGAGATAATACTTGTGCCAGTAACCTATTAATGGGAAACAAATCACCCCAACCATTAATGTTCAGAAATTGGTCATTTAGATAAGGCCCACCAGGGACAGCATAGCTCTGCTCCTTGCAGCATCAACAAGGGTGAGAGGAAGGTTGGGTGTAACTTGTCAGCTGGAGGGTAAAATCACTGGGAGGTTCACTTCTTGTCTGATGGTCACTAGCCAATGCCTGGAATATCAACTTGGAATGTAAAGTATGCACTATTTCTTCTCCACATGAGCCATGTGGTGTTGAGCTTCCTCATGGCATGGAGGCTATGTTCCAAGAGTAAGCTCTCTAGTTAAACTATGTTGAAGTTGGAAGCTGTATAGTCTTTTACAACTACTCTTAAAAGTGATTTATCTAAGTTCTGCCACAGTACGGTACCTACTCAGATACAAGGGGTGGAAATGTAAATCTGATCTACTTGGAAGGAATAATACAGTTTTATGGCAAGAAGACGTGTGTCTCATGGGAGATATTTTTGTGGGCATTTTGGAACATACAATCCACAACAACAATAAACCTATTATTTAATACATTCTTATTCCACTTTTTTTTTTTTTTTTTTAGAAAATCTCTTTATAAGCCTTTGCACATATTTTAACAGTTTTAGTAATTTCTCAAAATAGGAAAGACATTTAATTTCTACTCTTAATTTTCTGCCCTTTGATAATGGCTTCTTGGATAAAGATTCACAGTGGCGCTAGACTTTCATGACTTGGGAGGCTGACATGAAAATCTAGTTTCATTCTGCCACACTCGGGAGCGGTGATCGGGAAGCATGGAGATCCAGGAGAAGCAACCGCAAGATTAGCGTCCTTGTGCTGAAGCTCGGGAATGGGAAAGTGAGATTCCACCAGAATGGAAGTGTGTCCCTATTGTAAGAAGCCATTTAAACGATTAAAATCCCACTTGCCATATTGTAAGATGATACAACCACCTCTACCTGCTGATCAAAATGTTTGTCAGTCCAAGCAGGCTACACTCCCACGTGCTAAGAAAATGAAAAGTCCAATCAAAGACTTAATTAAAGCTAAAGAGAGAGAGGTGGGGACAAAAAATGAGAAAAGAAATAGTAAGCTGAGAAAGGACAAACCAGAACGGACTATTGAGCCCTTTCCACTACCAGCTGTTGGTTTGGAAAGAGCAGGTGATACAAAGGCAAGTAAAGACATCGAGAATCAAATTCAGCTCTCCCTCAAAATGTTAAAAAATCCTGAACCAATGATTACTCTCAAGGAAGCAGCCAAGGCTCAGTTTTATGCATCAAAGAACCCTACTCCTAAAAGAGAACTTGCCAGAGATTTGCCTCAGTCAGGGGGAAGTAGAAGTAATCCTTCAAAAACGGAAGCATCTTTACCTTTCGGCCCAATAGAACCTTCTTTGTCAAATCAAGATGGAAAATATTCTTCAGCCTTACTTAATGATGTACAAACTACTTCTGCTAAGTTGAACTTGGACAAAATTGATCCCTCAAGACAGAAGCTTCTAGTAAAATTACTAGATATGCCTATTGGTGATTATCAGGGTTCTCCCATGAATCTCAGTTACGGAGATAAAAGAGTAAGAATGTCACGTTTAAGTGCTGAGAGAGATTCCAAGGCCAGGGACCACCTCTCAGAAGTTTATACTGATGTCAGAGACTATGTGAACGAGGAAAAGAACGTGGAATCGCAAATTTTAGGTTTTCAAGTTAGCCCCTTAGGTAAGATCCAAGTCAAGGAGAACCCAGGAAAAGCACTTAACCTTGGAGCAGAAGCACGTGGGAGCAAAGGACATGCCAAGGAAAGTTTATCTGTGACAGAAATGCAGGAGTGCCCTTCCAGGAGCAATGACCGTAAGAACTTCAGTGTGGATGAGCCAGCCACAGAGAAGAAATCTCGAGATGAAGGTCTCAATGTAAACTTCACGCCAAGGGAGACGACTTGCAATGAGTTTCTTTCTGTATCACAGACACGTAATCAGAGTCTTGCCTCTCTGGCTATAAAATTTCTACAAGAAGAGAAAGCAGAAGCCCACAATCCTAATCAGGTCCCTAATGTAATGGCGTTGATGGAGAGTGAGGGACAAGCTTCTCTGGAGCCCAGGTCTGGCTGTGGGCCCCAAGCCTCTCACCCTGAGTGCCAGTGGTCCTTACATTCAACCCAGCATTATATTTCTAAAGTGTCTTCCCTGGTCTGATGCATGTTACTGACAGGAAGACCCTTTCTAGCTCCCTGGGGCTGGAGTGGTTTCCAGAGCTCTATCCTGGTTATCTTGGACTAGGGGTGTTGCCAGGGAAGCCTCAGTATTGGAATTCAATGCCCCAGACGCCTCAGCTCATCAGTCCCCAGGGGGAAAGACTATCACAAGTTCCTTTGTTGGAAAGAAGTTCGACTGCTCTGTGGAGTTGGGATCCCCCGACCAAGCTTACAACCTCCAACGTCGCTCTAATGAGGCTCTTGGGAGCTGTACAGAAAGGCTGGATCAAGTGCAGCACCACCATGAAGAGCGGAGTTGGTGGCGTCACCATGCTCTTCACGGGATACTTCCTTCTTTGTTGCAGCTGGAGTTTCAGGCATCTGAAGCTGCTGCGCGCGTAAGGAACGTTGACCTGGACACTTCGGGACGCCCCGGACTCCAGGAGCGCGCGCTGGAGACAGCTAGGACACGCGTCCAAGTTCAAGTTGTATTGGGGGCAGGAGAGGGAGGGGAAAGAATAAATTATTGAATCTAAAGCAAAAAAAAAAAAAGAAGATTCACAGTGGCTTTAATATACCATAAGACAGGAAGCAGAGTGATAAATAAGCATCCCTTTTGTTGTGGCCTTGAATTGTGAGAACACATTTTGAGGAAACTTTGCTAGTGGGACAAACAGTACTCACTTTCAACAGGACTATGTTTGCCCTATAACAATAACCTACACGTTTAATACTCATTTAATAATATTGTTAAACATCTCTTTCTTATGCTTCTTCCTCGTGAGGTAAAGGCATTAGGCAAGGGTATTAATTAAGGTATTTACTGTCTTGGATAAGTATTGCTATAAGCATTACACATGGAAATATATATGAGGGTTTCTAACCACGGCTTGAACAAACAGCTCTTTCGACAAGTAAAACCCAAATTTCCTGCAATTATCGAAAGAATCAAATTTATTGATTGGCAAATACGCAGTGCATTATTAATTCTGAGTCCCAGTATCCTCAATCCTTATCAAGAGAATTACACATGAGGCTAACTGGGAGAAATAAAAAGCTCTGACAAAAATTTTGTCTACAGATGTTTCCTAAATGTGGTAAATAGCAACATTTACAAGGGAACTCCATAGATGTTTGTCTTTCAATCAGAAAGCTGTTTTATCAATGCCAAATATTCAAACAAAATCAGTCCCCCACCAAATTATTTATAATTCTGCATTTTCCAAATTCACAGATATTTAGCATCACAAAGACTCAATTAAAATCTGTTTACTTTCAAGTTTTATTTTGGCACTGATTTGTTAAACAGAAACTGCTTAAGTTGTTGCGAATAGTAGCAAACTGAAGTGGATTGTTGTACTGTCAGTATAACTGCCAGGCATATTTTCTAATTTCTGGGAAAAGAGAAGAAATAATGTAGTAGACAGAGTTTTTATTACTTCCATTGAACTAATGTGGGTTTTTTTTATCCTCACCCGAGGACATTTTTTTCATTTTTTTGTTCAGATAGAGTGGGAGGGAAAGAGAGAGAGAGAGAGAGAGAGAGAGAGAGAGAGAGAGAGACATCGACATGAAAGGGACACATCGAGTCGCTGCCACCCACACGACCCAACCAGGGCCAGGAACAAACTGCAACCGAGGTAAGTAACCTTAGCAGGAACGGAACCCGGGTCTCTCTGGACCGTAGGCTGATGCTCTAACCACTGAACCAAACTGGCCAGGGCAAACTATTGTTTTTATTGTCGCCAAATCATACTATCTGGATGCAATGTATTAAAGGAAGGTATACATTAGAAATCCACATTAGCAGCCAATATTCCACCCCAGGTGTTTCCTGCCCTTTCGTCCTCAATAGCCATTTTCATAATGGTCAAATCAGTGGTGGGTATTCTGTTGCTGTTGACAGGAATAGCCCTGGAGGTTTATGCTGGACCCTAGAAATCAAAGTTGGCTTCGGAAAAAAAAAATGCATTTTAAACAATGTAGAAAATAAGATAGTTACATCCTATAAATATGTTGTTCAGTTTTAATAGCAGAGCAACTTTTAGAAACATAACCATCGGGTTTCAGTAGTGATGATAAAATTAATTAATTAGTCCTTGTGACAATTTAAATCACTAGATTGAAGATTCACTTAAATGAAAAAACCTTTAACTTGGAGAGAAAATGACAAAATAAAGTAGCCTTGATTGAGAAGTGCAGTATCTGAACTTTTATGCAATTTTTTTATTCTGCAATTTCTGACTTGATGCTTTTAAACCTGTGATTATAACACTGGTACAAATGAAAGATGTAAGACAATTGCTCTAGTTAACTCTGAGATGAAAGAATGGATAAATGAAACCCACAGATACCTCAGAAATATCTTCCACAGTCTTGCCTCTGGAGAAGTGGATGGATTCTTGTTAAATCTCAGCTTGAACTTGAACTTGGCTGAGCTAATGGGGGAGACAGGCTGCCAAGACTTGATTCTCCTGCAGAACAGGAATTTTGAAAGCACTCTTTTGGGAGGTGTACTCATTATCTATTGTTGCAACAGACTATCACAAATGGAGTGACTTAAAACAATACATATTTATTATCTCACAGTTTCTGTGGGTCAGACATTTGGTCATAACTTCTCTGGATCCTTTGCCTCAGGGTTTCCCAAGAGGCTGCAAGCAAAGTGTCAGCCAGGGCTGGGGTTTTATTTGAAGGCTCAACAAAGGAAAGATCTGTTTCCCAGTTCAGTGATCATTGGCAGGATTTTGTTCCTCAAGGGCTTTTAGACAGAATCTCAGATATTTGCTTGCTGTTGGACTTAGGGCCTTAGTTCCTCATTGGCTATTGGCAAGAAGCCATCCTAATTTCATGCTATCTGGACCTCTCCACATGGTAACTTGCTTCATCAAAGTCTGTAAGCCAAGAAAACAATAGAATCTGCTAGCAAGACAGAAGTCACAACAGTTGTAGCCTCATCATGGAAGGGACATTCCATTGCCCTTATTGTATTCTATGGGTTACACACAGCCATTATGTCTAGCTCTCACACAAGTGAGGAGGGGGGCAATGAGTTACATGTGGGCATGATTACCAGAGGCAGAAATTATTGGGGGCCATCTTAGTATCTACCTGTCTCAAGAACTGGGGTGGGAAAAGAGCTGTGTGTCTGCCCCGATAGTGATTGCTGGACTTGTGCCCAAGTTCTATGGTGAGATAGACCTTCAGCAGGATTAAGTTGGAGAAACTGGCTTTCTTTTCTATGTGACAGCCTGTGACCCTGGGTGGAGATGAAGGGTATGTTCCTTCTTTTTGCATACAGCACAGCATTGCCTTTTTCTCACAAAACCTGTGTTCTCTGCAGTTGGGACTCAGATAGTGGAGCTTTGCTGCTTTAAGAGTTTGAATTGTGAGGAATGCTGGGAGATTGTAACCTTGGGTTTTTTTCAACAATAAAAGGGAATGTTAAACACCATAGCAATGGATGACTCTTGTCTGTTTGAGCAGGTTTGCATAGTGGATACATAGTTGAGCACATTATTTTAAAAAATGTGTATGATCTGGTTAGCAGATCGTTGTCTTAACTTCCATTCTTTGTTTGACTCTTTACCAAGTTGATGGAGGGGTTAAGCATTTTAATTTCAATGTTAAAATGATAAGGAAACCAAATAAAATTAATTCTCTAAGTTCCACAAAAGTCTGGGGAAGTAGTGGTAGGTATTATAGTCTTCAAGTATTTTGGATGTGTAGATGGATGTCAGCATATTAATTGTAAATTCTTTGAGCAATTTCCTGGCCATGAAAGTGTGTCTAGTTATCCATACACATACTAGATATACAAAGAAGATGTGTCAATGTCCATCAAGTAATAATAAGCTAAAGAAGAAGAATATAGAAAAGGAAAAGAAAAAGAAAGAGAAAGAAGCAGAGACATATGAAGGTAGTATTTTTTTTCTTTGATAACCCTTATTAGATCTCTTCTGAAAGATATACTCTAGGGACCATTGTAAACATTCATTTTTTTTCCCCTTTCGAACCAAGCACCTCAGACTCTTCGTGGAATAAAGGGAAGGACAGTAGAAAACCCAAAGGTCAGATTTTTTTTCTATTGAATTGGCACAATAATTGTGTGTGTGTGTGTGTGAATAGTTTTACAATGAGCTTATGCTGGGTTATTTTCTCTGAAAACAGAGATTTCGAGATGATGTGTCAGTGGCAACTTATGTCTAATATTCATCAAAATAGTGGAGACCAAAGGATTAAAATGTCTAAACTTTATCACACATTTGTGTCTGCTGGCAAGATTAACAATTGTTAATATTGAAAATGAGATGAAAGATGCTGTAAATTTATCTTATCAGCACTGTCTTTCAATAATAGTAACTTGGCACTCTCTCATTGTTTTTTAGCCAGTTGAAACCAAGTCTGCAAAGACACAAATTCATTCAAAAGTCATGGATCGGAAATATATAGTGATGCCAAATGAAACAGATAAGTTTTCATTCACCTGGGAACCATATTTTGACTGCATTATGGCGCAAGTTGAAAAAAAAAGCAATGTTCACATCAATTTAAAAATCATACTTAAAAGACCTCAAATGGAAACCATATATTTTTCCAAAATCCATATATAAATGATTATGTACCATCTGGATTGCATCTGGTGACATAAAAATGTTGTCTTATGAACAACAAAGGTGTAAGAACCATCAAGCGGATCCATGTTGATTTGGCACATTTGTTCACAAAGGAGGCAGTTTTTTATGTGGTAAGATTTAACCTAGAACGTAAATAGAAGTTTAAGAGCTCATTCCAGCATACACAGTTTGATCAAATGTATGGAGATGGATTACATTAATATTTATGAGATAACCAGATTGAATTCTACATCAGAAGATTATAAAGAAGAGTGAATTTTGAAAAATAAATTTGTATTTGCATCTTTTTATCAATGCTCTTTTGCACCCGTTTTAGAAATATAATATAGTATACAGAAATTGTGATTCTCCTAAGTAGGAAAACCAAGAATTAACCTGTAGCCTCTCTGCCTGCAGGTCTGTGCTCAATGCTATGAGTCCAATGAATAGTACATGCTGACCACAATACAGAAAGCCTCAAGTTCAACTCTTATTTATATATTCTAATGCCAACATTAAAAAAAAATGTTTAGTATGCTGCCTTTTCTTTATTGTTGCTGGGAAACATAATTTATAAAGAGGTTACAAAAATGAAAGCAAAACTATTTTCAAATTAACACACTTCCCATTTATCAGGAGTTATTCAGACTAAAATCTAATGTATATAAAAATGAGGATTTATTTGTGATGAACAATAAATAAAATAAAAAACAAACAGATCTATTATTTGATATCAAAAAGATGATGTTAAATAATTCTGATTATTTTATGGGTGCTAAAATTGTG